AAACGATTGCCAAACTTTGTGCAGAGCACCAACAGCTCTCTTTACCTTAAGTAGTCTTTGCTGAATTCCTTGTTCTGTCCCTCCGGGTACATTAGTCCCAAAATCATTGAACAACACTTGAAAAAATGCAAATGAAAATTTAAAATTATTTCCATGACGACCCAAATAGCTCGGTCGGTACCTCGGGCTATACATCTTAACAGTAGTGATGTTCGATACGTTACGATATTTAGAAGTAGCGATTCTTTTGCTTCCGATACCCGATATTTTGGTTCGATATTTTTATATACGACGCTTGGGTGTATCGATACCTTGCACGAGTATCGTTATCTCTCGATCCGGACTGTGTCATATTACCTTTTCTTCTTGGTTTCCTTCCGCTGGTGCAAGTTACTTCACGACCTCACATAATTTATTTTGGATTCCAGGGTTGCCACATTAGGGTTTTTTTCGAAAAATTAGGGAATTCTTATTTCCATGGGGACGATCTTGGAGATATTTTTTTCTGGGGATTTCTTTTGGGGAAGCATATTTTACTGGGGATGTATTACGTGAAATTTCAATGACATTACATAATGTACTTGTTATATGTGTTCGATTGAAAACAAATACTTCTACCTTTTGGGGTATTTATCGACATACGAAAATAAGTCGCTCCAAAAAATATTTTAATATCCAAGAATTCCTAACAAATAGTAAACTTATGGCAAAAAATATAAATGGTGTTTTGAAATTTTTTTAAAAGTCCTGATATTATGGGATTTTTACGTTTCGACTGGAAAAACTGAGCTAAATGACCTGTTGGATTCGACTTACGCCCCTTTGTCGCTGGAAAGACAAAGGGGCGTAAATCGGCAAATGCTTATTTGGAGTTACCACCACCACCAATCTCAAAAAGTGGATATCTATAATATGACGAAGTGGCGTATCGCTCCTGCTTATAGTTAATGTAATGTGGCAAATCAGTATGTGCGTGGGTCTCCTATCCTTACTAGTACTAAAAGGACAAACGGGCGTATATCGCGTCTGCTGTAAAATAGCTAAATTGGAGTTACGCCTCTTTGTCTTTGCAGCGACGGCATGACACACAGTGTTTTTAGACATACTACATCCAGCATCGGAAATGGAAGGACCTCTGAAGAAGCTTACCACTCGTGCTAGCCAAACCTTAAGAAGAAATTCCAACCAACGACGGCCTTTAGACCCAAATCAAGACAGCAGTTTATCAACTGGCCGCGAAAGCCTTAACCAATTTGTCAGTGTTTTTAGTATTGATTGATTAAACACTATAGTTTAAAACAAAGCATCATTGTGATAGCGATGCCTCCTGTAAGAAGTGATTTGTGGAGCAATTTTGTATAATCGAATTTAGTCGGGAGATGTAATTTATGCAATTGTGGGGTTTTTACCTATTCTTATTAGTGAACGTGTTTGACAATCTAGTCAACATTAGTTGCTTACGAACAGCACACATTCTGACCTAACCTGGATAAAACTAACTGAACGACGCTTACGCTTTGACACAACTTAGTTAGAATCCTATCTCGCCCCTTCCCGCTGTCAAGACACCCGAATTGTCGTCAGAGATATATTAGCTGGTGTAAGTTGGCGCCAAACATGACATTTTGAATGTATAACATTCATAATTGTGGTTAGGTATCTTCAATGTTTGTAAATAATTTCCCATAGACTCTATTTAGTGATTAATGTGGATAGAAGTGATCATTTATTCAAAATGATGGATAAGTATGCAATAGTTTTATTGTTAATTATAACACTTACAAGCACAACCGGCAAATGGACAGTTAAAACCACTATTTTTAAAAACTAGAATTTAAAACAGAAAATAAAAACTACAACCACAAACCAGCAACGTCCAATTCATCACAAAACATATAAATAATTGACTATTTATTTTATTATTCGCTCTTTGACAGCTGACAGGGATGTTACGTTCCTCTTGAAATCATGCTTACGATCAACAACTTGGCTCAGGTCAGCAGCTAACTTTAACTTAGGTCAGAAAATTGCCAGTTCGTAAGCAACTATTATTTTGAGTGTTGTAGGAAAAACAACTTTTCGGTAGTGTATGTTCCGTATCGATACTTATGATATCGATAATTTTATTCCGATATTTTGGAGTATCGATACTTCCTAAAACGACAAGAATCGGTACATATCGATACTTTTCGTGGATCGAAACATCCGCAACCTTGTCAGCTTGTCGTTCTTGTCAACTAGGCTGCGGAGTGCGGTATTGCCTTTACTATTTTACATTTTGCTAAAATCTTATAAAAAATAGAAGCTTCAAATGAAATATTGACGAATATGAATGGATATGCATAGAATTCAGAAGATAAATTCATATTGTAGGTTTCAGATTGTCTATGCATGGACTTGAACCGGATTTTTCGGTATTTTTACCGAAATGAGAATATTTACCGAAAAGGTGATTTTCAAAATAATTCAAACGTTTCCATACTTACCGAAAAGGTAATTTTCAAACTAATTCAAACGTTTCCATACTTGCCGAAAAAGAGCTGGAACCAAAAAATTAAGCTAAAAGTTAATTTTATGTAGTCTTCGAAGTTTCGTGCCCCATATCAATCATACATATGCATACACACTCAGGCAGTGGGGTACATGAGAGGCGTAGATTTGGGTTGCCTATGATTACGAACGCACATCCTCATCCTTTAGTCCGCTTGCCCTGAATTGATTTTTGTGCGTACAAAAGGTACAGACTTGTAGGTTACCGCATCACCGGATAAGCAATACAGAAACGGACCCCTGTCTGTTTTCAAAATAAATATTTGTTTGAAATGTGAGGTGAGTTCATGAGTTCAGGGCTAAAACAGAAAAATATTCACAATCCTATAAGCAAGAATCGAAAAAGGAGTTTCCAGAATTGTTGCAAACTACTTTGAAAGAGCGACCAGTATGCACATTGTAGAAGTTGTAATATAGGACTATACCCTCAAAAAACATATTGTGAGCACGCTCAATGCAATAATAAACATTTTTCATAGACGGCGCTGCGTGACTCAAAGGTCCTTGTTCCACTGCTGATCTTGGAGCGGCATTTTTCATTATACCGAATTCAACGACACTATTTACCAATTCCGTTTTTTTTCGGTTCGGCAACACAATAATAATAATAAGAAAGTATGACAAGTTTTATAGATATATTTTTCTAAATATATATTTTTGATTCTGACTTAATATATCTACAAATATCAATGTTTTGGGACCCAGAAATGCAGAATGTGCTGTTTGTTTACATTTGGTGTGGATCTCTAGATCATATATTGGCAACTAAACTGTTTTTGATGTAACAAAAGATGATGAACCAGTTGGAATACGTGTTATATCCTTTTTTGCTAAACAAAGGAAATCGGTTCACTTCTACAGGTACCTATTATGTACAACACCTTGTACGTGATATAGAGATAAAACTAGATTGCCATGCAAGGACAGTCATCAAAGCCAGATAATAGCTAGAAAATTGACCTATTGTTTCTCGCATTTTCATTGTTCCATTTAAATAAGAGCCCGTCTTCTGTGAAATGATAGACATTGGAAATTCTATGAAAGTTATCCTAATTCTAAAGCTCAAAGACATAATATTATCTCTATAATTTACCCTTATTTATAAAGCAATCGCTTTTTCACGATTTTGTTCAATATTTAAAAAGAAATTAGCGGTATTAGGAGAGCTTTGACAGCTTCCGTCAAATTGCGTTTCGATAAGCTGCTCCCTCACCCCCCTTTCACACGAACCGGTGAGCGCCAGACGGCACAGATGCCACGTGGTGCGAAAATTCCCGCCGGACGTGCGGCTTCACGCCGGACTACTTTGCGAAGGGCTATTGTTGTTATTGGGGTCCGCCACTCGATGTGTAACCTTTTCAAAATGCCATAAGTTCCGTTTGGAAAATGATTTTTATTTCTTACAAAGTACAGTATTCCTTATGCCTTGACTATAGCATTGAGACGGTCCAAAAACAACTCAAGTCCGAGCTGTTCGAATGTGACTTGACAATATTTTGGCCCACTTAAGGACAATGGCTTTCTCCAGAGTCTAAATCTAGAGGCTGGTGTATTTCTTAGCTCGGACCTTGCGCTCCAAAATGGCCCAGATTGAATAATCGATTGGATTCGCGTCGGGTGAATTCGAGAGCCGTTGTGTGGTCGAAATGAAGCTCGGAACGTTATTTTTCAGTCATTCTTAGCTCATTCACGCTATTTGGAACGGTGCCGAGTCTAGTTGAAATGTCCATGGCCTGCGGCCGAAATGATTGTCTGCTTACAGCTTCAAAGCAGCCGACAGAACACTTTTCCGATAGTATGTCGCATTTACTTTGACGCCAGGCTCAATAAAAACGATTGGATAGTGCCCATCTGCGGTTACAGCAGCCCAAACCATTATTTGTGGCGCGTGCTGCTTCCGAGTGACCAAACTGTGGCTCAAATTCTCGTAGGAACGTTCGTTCAAGTAAACCCTATCGTTTTGAGAGTTTACAAATTGCTCAATTAGAAAAAAAATTCTCCATAGCAAATGCATGGCTAGTACTTTTTTCTTCTGCGCTATGTTCATGTCAATAGCTAGCCTCATTTGAACAATAAAAATACAGGAGCGACGGACGAAACTGACCTCGTGTGAAAACATCCCGCTCCTCAGGCGTGCACCGCGCGGCAGGCGCCGTACGCCGTACGGCGAGCGCCGGATCGTGTGAAAGAAGCGTAATGCCAGCCATACACGTAACGATATACTTGTGCAAGCTTAGACTTAAGCAAACACACATCATCCTATCTCGAGCACACACAGCGCAAGTATACTTGACCGATCATTTTTGAGAAATTCATGGACCAGGCGAGTTGTGTTGCGACGCGACGATAGCATCCATTGATGATGCTATGGCGATAGTTGGCTTGATAGTTGCTACAAAAAACTGAAAAGATCTAAAAGGCATCGAGCTATATAGTGTAAGGACTGGTTAATGAAAAGAGAACATTCATCACACATCAATTTAGTGAACGAATTGAAATTTGCACCAAAAGACTGGCATAACTACCTGCGTATGATCGAAGAAACTTACTTGAAGCTTCTATCGATGATTACTCCACTTATTAAAAACCAAGATACTGTAATGCCAAAAGCTGTATCGCCACACGAAAGATTGACAACAACTCTGAGGTTTCTCGCAACTGGAAGGAGTTACGAAAACCTAGAGTTTACAACAATAATATCACCCCAGGCGTTGGGTGTTATTATTCCAGAAACATGTGAAGCGATATACAAAGTACTGCGGCAGGATTATTTTAAGGTGAGTAAAAGGTTTTTAATTCTTAAACATTTATTGACAATCATTGAAGCTGGATATAAATGCCCCGGCTGATTGTTCTGGAATAGATAATTGCACTTCAGTATGTTCAGTCAAATGTTGTGAATCCGAATTGTACTGCATGGAAGGAGTGGAAGAATCATTACATTCTTGCTCGATGCGTGGCAATGAAGATAGAGTTGATCCTAAATGCATGAACTGCTGTGAGTGTTGTGTTGGAGGACTTAGAATTGGGGTTCCTTGGTTAAACTGTTGTGAGTGGTGTATTGGAGAACTTGGAGTTGGGATTTCACGAATGAACTGTTGTGCGATACAACTCACGTACATTGAACTCTCCATGTGGCAGTCTCAAGTTGCCCATTTGCTTGAAATAATGAGTCGTTTATAATTTTTTCAGCAATCAGCATTTGCTGTATTGGCAGATCGCGCAGTCTCATTGCGACATTTTCGCCAAAAATATCAAATCGGTCTTCGCTCAACAAAGGACGCTTGAAATGCTCTTTTACGACTTGCAGTACGTCGGTAGATAAATCTGGTGAATCTAATGAATGAGGATTACTGTTACTTTTTCTTTTGGGTGGTCTAGGGCGACTTGATATTTGTGTAGAGGTACTAGCTGTTTCCGGAGAATTATCATCTCTATCTTGTGATGGCAAAACATCGCTGTTCATTGAAGCTTGTATGGCTTCCTGGAACAATAATTGTTATTTTACTTTCTTTGCTTTCAGTTTCCACAAACAGAAGATGAATGGAAAAATGTAGCAAAACATTTTGAAAATAGGTGGAATTTTCCTCATTGCCTTGGCGCCATAGACGGGAAACACATAGACATTATTCCTCCAAGTGGAAGTGGCTCCTATTTTTATAATTATAAAGGTCGACACAGTATGGTACTTCTTGCAATAGTGGATGCTAGGTACCAATTTATAATGTGCAGCTTTGGTGTTAACGGCAGGATATCAGACGGCGGTGTGCTTCAGACTACTACATTTTATGACAAGCTTCAAAAACACCAATTAAGTATCCCGTCAGATGAACCTATAAAAGGAAGTTCCAAAATACTTCCTTATGTATTTTTAGCCGACGATGCTTTTGCTTTGAGAACAGATATGATAAAACCATACCGACAGGCAGATTTAAATTCTCGCGAAAGAAATATATACAATTATCGAGTGTCTCGAGCGCGGCGCATTGTAGAGAATGCATTTGGAATCTTGGCTTCTAGATTTCGGATATATAAAACTCAAATTAATCTAGAACCCAAGAACATTGATAAGGTGGTAATGGCAAGCTGTGCTTTGCATAACTTTTTAATGTCGTCATCGAATTCATATAGTTCTGCAGAATGTTTCGATCACGAAAACCTAGAAGATGGAACTATTACATCAGGTTTAACATCACATGATTCAAACATGGAGCCATTATATCGACGAAACTCTGGAAATAATGCAACTGCTGCCAAAAATGTTAGAGAACAGTATGTACATTACTTTAATAACGAGGGGAGTGTACCTTGGCAAGATAACTTTATTCCTTAAACACACAGAGAAATGTTACCTTGTAAATATTTACATTAAATAAAAATATAATAGCTAATTTCGTGTACTTACTTCAGAACTATCATCTTCGACGATGTTGGAACTAGAAGATCTTGGCGTTCCTTGGTCGTCATCGAGAAATTTCAGTAAATCATAATACCATAATGTTGGCACTTAAACATCATTGGTGCCTGCTCCAGATCGGCTAGACTCTTCTTTTCTTTACGGTAGTTGGTGCGTAAGCCATTAATTTTTTTAACTATCATATCTCGGTTGGAACTTGGTTCTATTTTCTTATACAGTTCTACTATTTGTTATAAGCGGCGGTTTCTTTATCTCTATTATGGTGGTGTTTGTTCTTTATTTGCCAGAGGCATGGTTCATTTCTGTACACATTTATAAATTCTTCCAAATTTTCTCGAACTCCACGTGTCTCACTCATTTTGGTGTTGAACAACGCAACGCGTGTGTACAACCAAGCAGCAGGACATCGCTAACTGCGAACGCTCGTTGCCACACACGTTCAAGTAAACTTGCGCAAACGTAAACTTGCACAAGTCTCGGAATCGAAAATTGCAACGTTCTTGCGACTTGTACAAGTCTAGACACTTGCGCAAAAATCTTCCAACACACGCTACAGTATACTTGTGCAAGTCTAAGTTTGCGCAAATATATCGTTACGTGTATGGCTGGCATTACTGGTGGAGGCCCCCGTCAAATTTAAATCTTTGTGAAATCGGCCCTTAGTATACTATCCATTTGTGGATTCAGTTTCTACTAAATGCCTAGAAAATTTCAAAAATCGTGTTGTAGGTTGATTTTCAATTTAAGAGAATATGAATTCATGTTTCGAACAGCTGAATTGGTTGAATATTGCAAAGCTGTAACAATTTCATTTATTATGCTCACAACATCTACATACTTCGGTTCTTTGATTTTTTTAAAAAGAAATTGATATATACAATTTTAAACAGCATATTAAACAAATTATTTTTGATGCTCCAATCTGAATTAAATATCCATAGATCACCTATGCTTCCGCATATCATACAGATCCTGTATAGTTTGTAATTTCCATATAACTTTAGGAATAATATGTTCTTAAAATTGTTTTTAATATTCTAGCACTAGTTGATAAAGGGTTATTAAGTGGTGGAATAGCTTGTAGCTAAACTTATTAAATAAAAGTGGTTTTATTATTATTATTATTATTATTATTATGTTACGAAGAGAAATGGACTAATCAGTATCTAGAATGACCCTCAACTGGAACCCTGAGGGCACAGGATGACCCAGGCTGCCCATTCTAAAAAAAGGTACCCCTTCTAAAAAAGAAGGTTGATGATTATTTGTTGAGTTATTAGCCATTGAATTTTGTTAGACGACCAGCACGCCATTCAAAAAAATAGTAAACGTATACTTTGATGTTATAAAATACTGATAAGGGGGTTCAAAATACACTATTAAATTACCCTCAGCTCTTTAACAATGAATAGCCTCAGTCAGCCTAGTTGTCTCAATCAAAAAACAAATAGAGGCATTACCTTTCTGAAAAGGGCTATAACTGGTAGTGGCAGAAACAACTCAGTGAGTGCTGTATATTTGAATTCTATTTCGGTTTTGTAGAATACTTGATAAAGTTTATTGATATACTCATCTTGAGTGTAATTAGCCATACTTTAGTTGTGTAACACCCCGTGTACCTTCAAATTAGCGACCGTTTTCCACGCAGCCCATCATATAAAACACTCTGCGTAGAATGTTCCCCTCCACTAGAGAAATCGCGTATTTAAAATAGGTGATAGAAACGTCTACCTCTGTTTTTTAAGTCCTGAGTACACTCCATTGAAGGTAACTGTGAGAGACCCTCATCTATCTTGGTGCACGATCACATCGTTTATTGTAAAACTGGTGTGTAGTAGTTGGAGTTGTAGTGTGAACTCTGAAAGGTTTTCAGTATTCATGAGGCCCTTATCACTATGTAAATGATTTCAGTACATTAAATACTGCTGGCAGATGCGAACCAACGTCGACCGATTAAAATGCGGTACGAATTCAGGAACAGTGACGTGCTCATAGGCCATGCGAAAATATTACTTCAGGAAAAATATAACTACTTTAACATTGATACCGCATACTGCTACTTTACTCGAGAAAGTCGGTAAACGGTGGCGATTTCCTTTCCGATGAAGGAGCTGGATGTTGTCACCATCTGGGGAGAGCACGCACAGTGGTAAATGAGAGAAATTAAGTCAAATTATCAAGGATTTTTCAGCTGCAAACGAACAGAAGAATGTACCCTATAAGGTATACACCGGGTGTTTCAAATTCGGCCCTCACCATTGGGATTTCGGAAACTGTAAGAGATAGTCTCTCAAATGGGGTCAAAGTTGCATATTTAGGTAATTAATAAGTTTGTATGTCCAAAGTACTTCCGGAAAGAGATGGAAAAAACGAATGTTCCCAAAATGGCTTTAATTTTTTCCTGACTTTACTTGTCGTGGGATTTCTAAATAAATAGTACCTACGTTAACAGTGCCACTTTTTCTCTTCTGCAAGGTGGCAATCTATCTGATAATTTCAAGGCATACCTAGGAACTTCTGTTTTTCTGGAATAACGAAGGCTCAGCAATGTAAATGAATGACAATTTATACATTTTTGAAATCATAATTAAAAATCCAATATGCCGTCCATAAGAAAATAAAGTTGAAGCTGGTGTACAAGAGACGAAACGTCATATTGAAATTCTAATTATGCCATCTTGTAGATGCGAAAAAGTGGTAACGTCAATGTACAATTTGTGGTACTTTGAGTACTTTCTAAGCGGCACTTCTTATCCTAAAGATATCCTAGAATACGTAAGATTTGACTAGTTTTCAACATTTTATATCAGTTTGCGATGCAACCAAAACTTCGGTTGGCCCTTTTTTGGTGTTTGCGCCAGAAAGTCATACGGCATAAATAAACATATATCGTCTTAAGGCCAGGCTGTCTAGATAACTCGCGACCATGTGAAAAAGTACAACAGTTGGTCAAATAAGCAATTTGAGGTTAGAGAGCTTTTGAATTTCAAGCCGATGTACTTCTTTTAATACTAAACTAAGTCATGTAGAACTCCGCGTAAGGCCTTAAAAGTTAAATAGCTGTATGATAGCTCACAGGTTTTGGAAATAGCTGCTCTCGCGAAAAGTAAAAGCTTTGTTTATTGAAAAATGTATCGCGTAGGTTGCAATTGGATGACAAATATCACCGCCATGAATAAATATTCAAACAACAGTAAATTTGAAGAAAGAAATTCATAGACTACAAGTGATCTACAATGAATTCATCCAAAAAAGATTGTCTAACAGCCGAACTTAGAAGCCATCAACTGTTTTGTAACCGCCAATTTTTTAGGAGTCCTCTTATCTCTCTAATTTTATGTGACTTGTCTGTCTTTTTATATAACTATTCTTTGCTGCTACTATAAGAGTCAATCATAAACTTGACCATTAACGATTCCTGAACTCCTCAAAATCATTATTAAAAAATTTCCAGCTGCAGAAATCTGAGATCTCAAGAGTAAGTACCAAATTAATAAACGACCTAAATTTTTTTACCAATTAGGTATTCAAGAAAATGTTCCCGAGAGAGTATCAACAAGAACCAAAAAAATAATTAGCCCTTATTCGACGATGCGAAAATGTTATGAAAATAAGTAATCTTGTGTAAATTCACACTTCCATTTGATTTTTTCATATAGGGTTTTTCAATTTTGTATATTCCACTTAAATGGTATTCATAAGCATTTCAATAAACCAAAAAGCATCAAAGCGAAACTAAAATGAAAGTTTCATTAGTCAATTCTGCATCTCCATACAAAATTACCCACAGTGGTACGTAGCAATCATGTGCAGTCTTTATGACTTAGACGCAGAAGGGAAGACTAGGGCAACGTGAACTGTTTTCTTAATTATTTCAAGAACGTCAATAAATAAGGAGTTAAGGAAAGTATCAAGAATGATTCTTTTTCGCCTTTCTTCAAGAAATTAATATATAACAAAAATCAAAAAGATGCAAAATATCCACTTTGTCTGGACCCACGAGATGAAGCGGATATACAGGGTGAGTTTCTAGTTTGCGATCGGCTGATTACTCCGTTATTAGGCATGGCATGTAAAAAAGGTTCGTTACAAAAATTGTAGCCAGCGGTATGCTGCTTACTTCGGAAATATTGTTTTCACTACGGGCTGATTCGTAGCTACGTGTTGACCCAAACATACATTTCTTTAAATGAAAAGCCCTACATTTTATTGCGGATTTGGACAAGCCGTTCAAACGAAGCATTTAGATATAATGTAACGTTCAAATTGAGAAATATACCGAACAAAGACTCAACTCTGACAACTCGCATATCCTCAACCATCATAGCTAGAGGACTGAATTTTTTGCCAATGATAGATCCTACGGAATGGTCAAGAACGCAATATGAACGATCTCTTAAAATTTACAAATATAAAATAGCATTTAATTGACATATTGTTATTATTGGTGACCTTTCATTGTCACGTGCCAAAATCACGTAACCTTTTTCACTATTTTGATCATTTACTAGTAATTTGAATTTCTCTTTATCAATGGTAGAGTGCTCATTCCTAGGCAAACACTTTTCAATGATTTTCTTTTGGTAATTTCATAGTTTATTGATTGTATAATTTCTCACGTATTATATCCTTCTTTCTCACTGATTCAGCATTGTTTTGGAAAAAAACTCTGTGGTTTTTCTCCGTTACTTGGTTTTCTATCGAACATATCTTCTTCAAGGCCACACATTTAACCTTCCTTTATAAAGGTAGGTGTTTGGTGTCAGTCACTTTCCTCCTGCGATTCTGGGATATTAGGTGCCGAACACCAGTTTGTGGAGTAGTACATATACTCGTAGTACCTTACATTTAGTTGTTGTGGTTTGGGTGCTACACCGTCCATTTTCTTTTGGGATCTTAGTTTTCAGCGTCTTTTT